AGTCTCTAGCTCGTGATAACCATAATCCCACCTGACCTGGCAACTTCTTTAAATCCACACTATTTCCAAATTTTTCTATTAAAATATCTATAACAAAAAATTAGAAATCAAATGTGTTTATACATAAATTGTATAAGTCATATAAAAATTGATGTTAAAAAAATATATTTTATCTCTTAAACATATGTACGAATTAGTACTGCTAAAGTTTCTTTTGGACTGTCCATTAATTATTTTTCCTGTTCCCGAATATTGTAATTCTACTGCCTTCGTCATTATTGAACTCATTACTTTGACAATGCTTTCTTTCAAATTGGATTGTGTAGTAATAAGTACACGGAACAAAGCCATCTGATAAAATTAAGAAAATTTAAAAAATTTAAAAAACTTGCAAATAAAACTACGATCTATTTACCAATGCTTCTTTGTTCTGTGGAGAATCCATTAATAAATTTTCTAATTGTAAAAAGTGATCCAGTGATACTGTTGGTAGAGCAATTGTTAATGCTTCTTTTAACTTTTCGATGCTTCTTTCTGGTTGGTAATTAGCGTTTGATTGATTAATGATAATTGTATGTTTCACTTTGTTTATCTTCTTATCCAAATCGTACAAAATACTTCTTTTGAGGGATAAAATTTGGTTTGTAAGTTCTTTTTGGAGCTGTTGAAATTTTTGGTCGATATAATCTGTCCCATCCACTAAAACTAAAAAAATAATTGATACATCAATTATTGAATATTAAATTAATCATTTGAACCAAAAATTGAAATATATGTAATAGAATTTTTAATGTTTACTCGGTTGTACGTTCAAAATCTCGGCTGTCGTCTCTTCATTTATAACTGGAAGCATTGCGATTGATGTTGAAGGAAGTACATTTTCTGCTGATGATATCTCTATAATAAAAATCTATATAAATAATACTGTATATTGCAATACAAAATATATAAATAGTACTGTATAGCGCAATATAAAGAAAAAATTCTAAAACTAAAAAGTTAATGTACCTTGCTTTTTCTTTGTTTTTGTTTTGATAAAAGCTCGTGAAGAACTTGTCGAAGGAGATTCGTCAACGATTAAAAATGGCTTCACTACATTTAACTGATTTTGCAGGGAATCTTTGCACAATATCATTACTGATTCTTCATTAATATTACACACGTCATCATCAGTACTTTTCACGTTGTCCGACTTCAGTGCTCTCTTCAACCTTCTTTTTCCTTGTTTTAAATCTTCTGATAAATCAATGAGAAAACTTGCAGTAATATTAGGTAAGTATAATATTTGGTGTATCAACGAATTCTGTGCTTTAGGTTAACCGATTCCAAGCAGCAAACGCCAAGTTTCTACTTCGACGGAATTCACAAGCTACCTGATAAATGGCAAAGAGTTATCGATGCCAATGGGGAATATTTCAATGATTAAGTTCTTTTTGTTTATTTTTAAATACAGATCAAATTTTG